TAACAGCCTTAAAAAAGCAAATGATTATCATTTTGCTCTGTTAGTTGCAGAGACAAAACTAAGTGATAAAAATTTCGATGTCTGTTTCTTTCTATCAATATCTTTCACAGATTCAGATAACAATGAGCAGAAAAACAGCTAGAAACTAGGGCCAGAGAGAATGAAGAACAGCATTACATATCATCTATAGCTGATTATCCAAAACCAAATAACCACATTTATTACATAAAATTACTCTAATACCTACAATAAATAATTCAGCTCCAAATTAGAAGTTGTTCAATCTCCCTCAAATTTTTTAAAAACCTATTTCAGAATACAGTATGGTTAAATACACATATCTACACCAATAAAAGAAAAATAAATATACTGAAATTTGGTCTTTAATGTTATAAGACATAAGTAACAGAGCCAAATGAGTCAAAATAATTTGCCAAAACAATGGAACTGTATTTTCAGGGCACTAGAAAATGATCAAGTCAGGTAAACTCCGGTTAATTTCAGGGTCACCCTCACCAACTGGAGATGAAAGGGCATAAATAAAATCGCAGTCCAAATCTGCATACAATCTTCATTGCGAATGCTTATAGAAAAGATTTTTAAAAGCCCATCTTAAAACATAAGTCGTTTCACTTGGTTCATTGATATTTGGCAAAACTTTATTGATATCCATTGGGGAAAAAAAAAAATTCCCCAAGCATTTCATGTGAGTAGTTGGTTAAATACCATCAATACCTCCCCAATGCTAATACTAATTTAGCTAGCTATATCCCCTCCAACACAATGACCAGTTAAAGACTAACACTGAACAAAATGAAACTCAAATTTCAATAGAATAATAACTATGAAAACAAACAGAATTATAACTATAAATATAATGCCTATAAATTTTATTTTATTTTTTTCCAGCTTTATTTGTTTATTTATTTAAGAAAATGTAGTTTTATTAATTTTTTTTTTTTTTTTTAACATTCTAGGACGTTGTTGTGGAGCAGTTTGGAGGGAGGGGGAAGGGGAAAGGGGAAGGAAATGGGATGGAAGAAGGAGGAAGGAGGAGGGGTGGGATTGAGACCTGTGGCACACCCCTCATTCCCACAGGGGAGACCCGGGGGGCTTTCAGCGGTGGCTTGGTCACTGCCAGGTTGGGTGCAGATGTCAAGGGGGTGTGGCAAAAGCCCTTGCCCCCCGCCACTCCAGCTCAAGAATCTGGGGCCCTTCTTACTGAGTAATGCCTATAAATTTTAAACTGAACACACAGACTTTGAACATTTCAGAATAAAGACACCAACAACTGTCACCCAGTACAGTGCTTTTCAAACTTTTTTGACTAGAAACCACTTAGGTTGTATAAATACGCCTATCCTGCTGGTTGTCACTTTCATGGTATAAAGTCAGTAGTAACTAAGAATTTGAAAGAAACAAAATAATAAAAGATTCACAAATAAAATGTAGGCCTGTTAATATGCATCTAATTGAAGGATATGACAATATTTTATATATTTAGCATTTATTGTGTGTTTTATATGTATTAATTCACATATTCCTCTCATAACTGCCCTATGAAGTATGTATTATCTCCATTTCAACAGTTTTACCTTTTTTGTTTTTGTTTGCTTTTTTGTTTTTGTTTTTTTGGTAGGTGGCTGGTACAGGTCAACAGATTTATCATACTAATAAATAAACCATGATCTGATGATGATGACGACAATGAAGACTAATACATAGGATTTACTATATGCCAATCACAGTTCTAAGCACCTAACATATATTAATTCATTCACTATAAACCCTATTAACTCATTCACTCATAAAATATGATGTAGGTAGTATTACAATCCATTTTAGAGAAGAGGAAACTAAGGCATGAAGAGGTTACTTAATCTGCCCAACATCTCAAGTTGCAGAGGCAGAAAGCAGTCTTAGGTCATCTGTTTCCAAAATCTGGATAGGTTTTAAGTTGTGTACTTAACCTACAGTCACATAACTAGTAGGTAGAAAAGGCAGCAATACAGTTGCAATTTTTTGCTTTTTCCTCTATACCAAAATGGTTTTTTAATACATCCAGTAGGAGTTTTCCAGAAAAGCTGACATTATACCATAACTAAAAATACTGTGTGGTATTTACAAGGTTCTCAAACACATAAACAGAATCTTTTCAATTCTTAGTCCAAACATCGCTTGAAAATAAATACAGCTGATCATATATCTAATCCTGACTTATCTTCTACAGTACATTATAATATAAACCAATTATTTACTATGTGATTTACCTTAAAATGTAAATACACTGTTCCATCAAAGTCAAAAGTTCTGCCTTCACAAACCCTAATTTTTGCTCCATAGTTTGTAAATCTTGGCTTCTAAAATTATATATATATATTTATGTGTGTGTATACATACACAAATAATTCCATTCAATAATACCCAAATTATCTTTATGAATCTACTTTCTAGAATTTTGGGCTCCTGACATGTTCCAACAGACTTTCTCTAAAGAACAATCTTTATAGTCTTTGTTCTATAAGACAAGGTTCTCAGTAACAAATCCATGAATCTTCAAAGTCCCACATCATAGCCCCTTCAGGAAGGAAAGTAGGTGGAAATAGATAAGCCCCAAATGAGAGCCTCTGTACAAAACAGCTGGCTTCTACTCTTCTACAATGTCATTATCTTAAAAGGCACCATTATGAAAGGCAAAGAAAAGGTGATAAACTATTCCAAGTTAAAGGAGAACAAACAGATGTGACAACCACGCAATGTGTGATCCTGGATCAGACAACTGGTAAAATTTTAATATGGACTATGTATTAGATAATAGTAATAAAAACGTTAAGTTTCTTAAATTTGATTTTTATATTGTGGTTACATAGGTGATACATACTGAATATTTTGGAGTAAAGGATCATGATTATCTATAACTTTCTTCCAAATGGTTCACCATCAAGATCATAATGGTGGAGAAAGAAGGAAGAAGAAAGCAGTATTAAATACAGAGAGAGAGATAAGGCAAATGTAACAAAGAGCTTACAAATGATGAGACCAGGCAATGGGCATACAGGTGCTCAGTCTACCAATCTTGCAACTATTTGGTAGGTTGAAATTGTTTTTAATAAATGTTAAGAGTAAATAAAAAAGATTTAAAAATTTCATTATGATGAAGAAAATGACTTCCTAGAGTAAACAATGAGTAAAGAAAAAAAAATCCAAGCTAGTGTTCAATCACTAGATTATTCTGTTTATTTTCTCCCTCTTCCTTTTTCATAAAGTCAAGGTACTAACATTCCCTTCCTGAAAACTCTTAAAGAGAGAGCTCTCTTACTTGATTAAAATATCTCTTTATTATAATACATCTACCTGCAAAACTTCCTTTCTATTATCATAATGCTTAACTCATTTATCTGTCCTTATTGAGAACCCACAGTCTGATGCCAGTTTCGGGATCCGAACCTGTGACACGGCGTTTCTGACAGAAAACATAAGTTAATAAATACAAAGATATTACCAGTTAATAAAAGCTAGAAATGGAATTGAGTTTTTCCTAGAAACTGCTGAAATTTTAAGAGAGAGGTAATAGGACTAAATTATTATCTTCTCAAATAATTTTGTACCTCCAATCCTTGCTTTAAAGCCCTCTGCCAACTGATTGTCTTCCCCCATCTCCCAAACTCATTGTTTATTCCAAACACAGGCATTGCTAGTCAGCCAAATAAATACATTTTACTGCCTTTAACTTCTATGATCATTAAAATCCCACTCTCCAAGTTGATGGCTACCACTCTCCATGTGACTGTCTCCTCCTTTAAAAGTGAGTGGGTGTGCAGCTGTGACAGAGGGATGAAGGGGATTTCTGGGGTGCTGGTATTGTTCTACTTCTTATCTTGGTACTGTTAACACAAATATTGTCAATACATGATAACTCAAAAGTTACACATTTAAGATTCGTGATTTTTATCTATGTATGTTATAATTCAATTAAAGGTCTATTAATTTAAAAAATTTCCTCCTGGAAGTCTTCCTCCTACTGAGTTACCAGTTTCTGATTATTCCTCAACTCACTATCTACAGTCCTGACTTGGTGCATGTTTATTTTTTTTTACCTATAGGCTGCTATTACTATTGTCACATTCATGAATACACTGATTCTATTCCCAGTTAGCTACAAACTCTAAGAAAATAGCAACAAAGTAAAAATACCCAACTTGTCACTAGATATATACTGAATTAGTGACTGGATAGGTGCTAAAAATATATGAACTAAATCCGGGGATGATTTAGTGCTACGGGTTAAATGTGTCCCCTAAAAGTTCACGTATTGGAAATCTGCCCCCCACTGTAACAGTGTTAAGAGGGTGTGAAATCCAATTATGTTATTTCAAAGGTAGGGCCTTTAAGAGGTGATGACATTGTGAGGACTGTGCCCCTGTGAATGGATTAATACATTCATGGAGTAACGGGCGTGGTTCTGATGGCTTTATAAGGACAGTGAGTAAGAAGTTTAGCTCTCTTGCTCAGCTCATTCTCACCATGTGACATCCTGGTAGCCACAGGATCCTGTAGAGAATTCCCACACAGAAGAAGGCCCTCACCAGATGTGCTCCCTGGGCTTTGGACAGCCCACCCTCAAAACTGTAAGAAATAAATTTCATTTCTTTATAAATTATCCAGTTTCAGGTATTGTGTTATAAGCAACAGAAACTAACACATTTAGTATAGTTTTCTGCTGCCATTTTCAGTTCAGTAAGGACTTGAGGGTCTCACTAGAAGATAGAAAATCTAAAGCCTATTAGTGGTTTCAATGTACATTAAAATGGTTCATAAAATATAACCTAGAATTTTTCTAACCTTTTCACTCAGGTATGTCAGCACTTGCTGTATAATAAACCTGAAGTGTCAGAGACCAAACATATTTCCACAAAAAATAAAATCAATAGGTAATCATTTCTCTTCCATATTTTTATAAAAAAGACAAAGCTCTTTAAAAACAGAGCTACAATTCCTACCTGGGAGACTTCTTTGTTCATAATGAGTCCTCAAAACAGATAAGGTCAAATCTAGTGCTCCAGAAGGTAGCTTCCAGGGGAACGGGCTAACAGTGTTTTCCAGAGATGGCTCTGGTCTCTTCACTCTCACCTCATTTAAAGCCAATTATACAAACAACTGAAACAAATGAGAAGGGGGAAAAAAAACGAAAGCAGAAGGGAGGTTAGGTTGTTATTTTATTCTCTAAGAAATGATAAAGGTCAGAAGTGCTAGGAAAAGAAAGAAAACACAACTTTTAAGGAGAAATGGGAAAGTATTTCTAAAAGACAATGGATGAAGACCTGATTATACAGCTGAGGTCATTTCTTGTGATGAAGTACACATTTCTATTTGAGACTGCTACTTTGGTAACACATAATTACATTCTGCCCTTAAACTTCCAAAAGACCTATTTATATGTCTTTTAAAAATTGTTTCTGGCTGCATTCGTATGTTTATCCTTTCTCCTACTTATAAACTCTGATTTTTTTGTGTTTTCAGTTATCATTTAATTCTTTCTTTGATTTATGTAATACTCTTCACTATGTATTACTTAAAATTACTGTGATACTTTACCTCCAAATTTTTTATTTAAAAGTTTATAAACACATATTCATAATACTTAAAAAATAAAGTTAGTTGAGCTCTGGCTCTACTAATGATGAACTATATTGTATTAGACTAACTTGCCCACTGATAACAATTATAAACTCTGGACAAAATACATAAAACAACTGTTTACAGACATACGAAAGTGACTAAAGCAGGTAGAAAATGTAGGGGATCTGATCACTGAAAGAAAGGAACCATATTGAATGAGATATATGCTCATAAGACTTTCCCTTAAAGGAACTCTTCCTAGTACTCTCCTAAAGTGCTGAGAGCTACACATAAAGGGGGAAACCACAGTCTCATTGGTTTGAGGCATTAGAGAATGTAGATCAGAGCTAATAGAAAGCTGGAAATTGATTGGCACAATACAATTATCTAGACTACAGACCTTACTTAAATTTTGCCAGTTTTTGCATGCAACTCACTTTTTGGTATGTCTTGTTTACAAATCTATGACATTTTAGCTCATGTACAGATTCATATAACTACTCCCCAATCGAGATACAGAACTGTTCTGTCACCACAGAGAAATTCCCTCTTGTTTATGATCACCTCCTCCCTCCCCTTTCCTTAACTCCTGACAACCACTTATCTGTTCTCTACTTCTATAATTTTGCCACTTTGAGAATGTTACATAAATTGAATCATACAGTATGAAACCTTTTTAGATTGGCTTTTTTCACTCAGCATAATTCCTTTACTATCCATCCAATTTATTGCATGTATCAACAGTTTATTCCTTTTTATTGCTCCATGGCATGGAGATACCAGTTTTTTTCACCATTCACCCCTTGAAATACATTTTGGTTGTTTTTCAGTTTTTGGCTATTACAAATAAAGCTTCTATGAATATTTGTGTACATGACTTTGTGAGAACATACATTTTCATTTCAATACCCATGACGATACCAAAGACCAGTGACCATTTATGCAAACAAACAAACAAAAAAACCATTGTGGAGTTTATAACATATTAAGTGTTAATTATATTACAATAAAGCACAAAGGATGGGAAGGTATAAATGGAATTATACTGTTATATTTTACATGAAGTAGATATTAACTATAATGATGTTAAGTATAAATAAATTTACAAGTTAAGGACACATATTATGTCTAAAGCAACGACTTAATACAAAAACGGTAGCATTTAAAGGTAATAAAGTAATTTTTAAAACACAAAAAAGTATAGCTAAAAAGTTAACAGAGGGATTTTTTAGCATTCTAATAAAAATATTTGGTTAAGCCAAGAGAATGCAAGAAAGTAGGAAAAGAAGAACATAGAAAAAAGGAACAAAGAACAAATGGTACCCTAAACTCAACCATATCAATAATTATATGAAATATATATTGACCAAACATTACAATTAAAAAGCAGAGATAGTCAGATTAGATAAAAATATCAAACTCCAACTATATGCTGTCAGTAAGAGACATAGCTTAAACCTAAAGATACAAATAGGTTAAAAGTTTAAAAAATGGAAAAGGATATACTGTACAAACAGCAAGCATAAGAAAGCAATTTAAATATTAGCAAAAGTAGACTCAAGACTAGGAATGAAACCAAAAATAAAAAGGGAAGTTTCATAATGATAAAAGTGCTCATTCATCGGGAAGGCATAGATCATATATGTTTATGCACATGATAAAAAAGCTTCAAAATAAATGAGGCAAAAACTGATGAACTTAAAGGAGAAACAGAAAAATCCATACTTATAATTGAAGATTTTAACAGTTCTCTCTCAATAATTGATGGAACTAGATAAAAAAATCAATAAAAATACAGAAGATCTGAATAACACCGATAACTAGCTTGTCCTAATTTATATCCATAGAACACTACATTGAACAACAGGCAAATACGAGGGGTCTTCAAAAAGTTCATGGAAATATTCGTATTGTCTTTTAATTTCATTTTCCCACAAACTTTTTGAAGTACTGTTGTACACAGTCTTTTCAAGGGCTCATGCAATATTATTCAATATAAACCATATGGTAAACCATTAAAAAAAAAAGGCCAATGCATGTCTAAATGCTGAAATCTTAAAGGGTATGTTCTCTCACTTCTGTGGAATAAAATTAGAAACCATTAACATTATCTAGAAAAGTTCCAAACAGGTAGAAATTAAACAGAACACCTCTAAATAACCTACAATCAAAGAAGAAAACACAGGGAAATTAGAAAATATAAGAAAATGAAATAAAGTAAAAACACAACATACCAAAATTTGTTGAATGAATCTAAAGCTGCGTTTATACTTTAAATGCTTATACTTAAAAACAAGTTTAGAATCATAGATATATACAAATAATAAAGATAATCAGCATAATCAACAGAATAAAAGTGGACAACTGATAAAACTAAAACCAAAAGTTGCTGTTTTGAAAAGATAAAAAAAATTGATAAAACTTTAGCAAGACTGGTCAAAAAAACTAAAAAACAAATTACCACTATCAGAAATGGAAGGAGGGTGTCACTACAAAGTCTACTAACATTATATTCTGATTCAATAACTAAGATAAATTAAAAAATCTCTCAAAAAATACAAATTACTAAAATATCCACAAAAAGAAATAGTATGTATTAAAGAAATTAATTTATAATTTAAGAAAAACAAAATTCCAAGCCCAGATGTCTTCAAAGGTGAGTTTTATCAAACATTTAATGAATAGCAATTTTACATACTTTCAGAAAATAGAGGAGGGATATTTCCCAACTTGTTTTATTAGGCAAGCAGAACCTAGATACTAAAACCTGACAAAGATATTACCAAAAAGGAAAATCAGCCTCATGAATACAGATGTAAAAAAGCAAACTGAATCCAGCCATAATATAAGAAGGATAACAGATCATCATCCAGTGTGATATATCCAAAGAATGCAAGTTTGATTTAAAATTTAAAAATCAATCAATGTAATTTACCATATTAACAGAATTCTTTAAAAAATATATAAACACCCAAAAAATGCAGAAAAAGCACTTGACAAAATTCAGCACCCACTCATGACAAAACTCTCAGCAAGCTAAGAATTAAAAGTAATTCTTTCAGTCTGAGAAGGGGGATCAATTAAAAAAAAAAACCAAAACTACAGCTGGTATTTTATATAACGGTGAAATATTGCAAGTTCTCCTCCTAATATTGCGAACAAGGCAAAAATATTCACTCCCACCACTTCTATTCATCATTGTCTTGGAGGTACTGGAGGTCCTACTCAGTGCAATAAGGAGAGAAAAGGAAATTGGAAGAGGAAAAATTAAAATTGTCTTTATTCATTTAAAAAATGTTTTTTGGATACATAATGCTAAAGAATCTGAAAAATAATTATTAGAATAAGTGAATTTGACACTAATCATCACGGAAATGCAAATCAAAACCACACTAAGATATCATCTCACCCTATTATCAAAACTGGCTATTATCAAAACTGGCTATTATCAAAAAGAAAATAACAAAGGCTGGCAAGGATACAGAAAAAGGAGAATACTTATACATTGTTGATGGGATTGTAAATTAGTACAGCCATTCTGTAAAACAATATGGAGGTTTCTCAAACAACTACAGATAGAACGACCATACGACCCAGCAATCCCACTACTGGGTATATATTTAAAAATAAAGTTGTTTACTTTTTGTAATAGGATAGCAATATTTACTTATTTTTCCTTGTTAATATTTCATTTTCAAAAGGCTGATTTCATTGTTCTTATAATTATAAAATGCTCTGATGAAAACCTTGCCATCTCTCTCCAGAAAATAAAAAACATTTTTTCACACAATTTTTTAGATGTCTTAAAAAATCTGGATAAATTCATGGGTGATATCAGAAAACATAACTGTATTATGAAAGATATGAAAACTGTTGCTCTGAGAAAGATCTGCAAGGGGACTTTGGCTGGGAAATATATCTGGGCACCCTAAGCAAGTGGTAAGAATTTACCAACGGGCCGGTAATAAAGAGAACCACTTCCCCAGAGAAAATCTCCTGCACATGTTCAACAAGACATATGAAGAAGAATGTTCATGCTATCAATGTTTATAAGAGCAAAAAATTGGAACGACCCAAATGCGTGTCAATAACAGAATGGATTAGTAAACTCTGGTATACTAATACAACAAAATCTCATACTAGTGAAATAAATTAACTGAGTTTCAGCTTTCCACATCTGTCCAAAGGCAACCAAATTCCCTTCTTACAACTGAGACAGTATAGCTTTATGGTTAAATGTATGAATTTTGGAGTCCATCTTCATTACTAACTTTCAATCATAACCTTTCCATGCCTCAGTTTCCTCATCTACAAAAAGTGGGATAATACTTGAAGAATTTTTTAAGAGTAAACATTTAATATTTTTAGGATACTTAAAACAGTACCGGGCACATGTAAACACTGTGGAAGTGTATGACTACTAAACAGACCACAGTCAACTAAGTTTAGTCTTTCTTCTACTGGGCAGCCACCTTTCTAATAAATGATGGCAGCTAACATATTTTTCCTTAGCTTTTGCCTGAGTTGGGTACCATACA